CTTATTATTGCTTTCACATACTCCAACAAAATATAGATGATGATGATACTTTTGAGTTAAGCATTATATTGGAACACAAATCAAAAATATATTTGTATACCATATTTTACACAACTTACATGACTAAATATTGCTTGAGAATAGAAACTGTTTTGTCAAGTGTATGACATGATCAGCATTGTGATCAGAATATAGTTCAACCAACATACCAGTTTGTTAAGAGTGATGTTTGTATGTACAGACATACCTTACACAATGATCATGGAGCATTGCAAGTTTGTTGGGAGAGGTTAATTCACTGATAATTCAATACATCATGAAACAAAAGTTCCGACATACTGAATGTTGTGCTATCATCACAAAAGGATACATTTCAAGTTATTAGTTATATGGCTGAGCATAGAAAATTTCAAATGCACAGTATTTTACAATGTTTGACATAACGTTTGTTAAAATTCCATCTAATAAACAGGGATTCTGGATGAAACATATGGACAAAACCTTTCTGGAAAAACTGATTAATTTTTTTAAAATCATAATATAATGAGAGAAGCAACAGTCATGAAATGTTACATATAGCGGAACAAACAAGTATCGTTTTGTTCTCTGATTCAAAGTGATACAATATATCCTATCAAGTTTATGTAGCACATAAACTATTACCATCTGCAGAAGCTGTTCACTGATGACAAAATGCCATTCTGTATTATCAGGGATTTATCGAAGCATGATTTCAAACTATGTGCCCTTGGCAGCAAAATTAGATCGACGGAATTGCCTTCCGTGCTATTTCATTAAAGGTCACAACCTAAAAATCAAACATAATTAAAACACAATTATCACTTATTCATGACATATAATATATATTGAAAAAAAATATAAACAAAATTATAAGCGTACAATCGCAAATCAAAAGTGCAATATTTTGTACCTGAGTTTACTTCCCTAGAAACGAAGCAGCCGGGTTACCGAACCTAGTCAGAGCGGGTGGGTGTGCACTGTGCACTCAAGTGTAACGGATGGTTCATTTGCAGATGTCCTCACTGCTCATTGTGTGTGTATATATAGAGATGTTGGGTTTTGTAAATACAAGCTCATTTTTTGTGTATAACATTTTGCAATCAACAGACATCATAACATGTCATGTGTACAAGTATCATGCCTGCCTGTCTGTGTAATTCTATAATGTGACAGAGACCGAACTCGGGCCATAAATCAATCATGCGTTTTGTTTATGGTGTATAGCCTGATAGGTGTTAAGTTCAAATTGCATGTGGTCAGTGATCGAAATTGTGTATTGAATATTGTCATTAGCAGACAGGCAGGCAGACACATAGGTGTCAATACAACAGACATTGAGTTTTGTCTGTGACAACGACATATCTATATCACAGTTAGAAATTCTGTCAACGCTAAATAATGACATTGCTTTTAAGTATCGAACTGAGAAAGTGACTCGGTAAGAAGAACGTGTGGTGAAATAGACAAATGAAGTTATATAAACAGTTAAATCGGTAATCTACTGTCATAACATATACTATAAAAAGCTTGCGCCTGTGAAATATCAACATAACATTAAAAAAATAGCTCACATCAAAGCCTTCATCGAGTTTTCACCGGACAACCCACTTACAAGCTGCGCGAACCTATTTCACTGCGCATGTGCTATGAGCGTAGCCCAGCGCAGCGCAGCCCAGCTGTTGAAACCACTTTTCCCCCAAGCTCTGGGGGAAAATTAGTGAATCGTTTGAACTCCGATTTCGTGCGTTTTTTTCATCGCATTATTTTTCAACTGTATAAGTTGAATTTGCATTTTTGATGATTTGTTTCGGTAAGTCCATACCGAAAGGTATCAGAATCTGCAAAGCTGTGTTTTACGTTGCATGTGACCTTTAAAATAAACATTATACATGATAAAGTCTCTTCTAATTATTTATCTAGTTACCAGTAAGAAATAAATGATCTCCACAACATGGCTTTATATATATTAATATGAATGTGGGTGTTTCTTAATTTCTGTTTGAACATTTTCATTCTGTGTTTGGCAGACAGCATGCATCTTATTTAACTGTCAAAAACATTCAAATAATGGCTTGAAATATAACAATTTGTACCTCTGATTAATTAAAGCTAGTGGGCTGATGCTGTCACTTGCTTGACTCTTGTATCCTTAGCCTTTGTTACTTGTTTCAGGGTTTGGGTAGGTTAACCCCCAGTCTATCCTTAGCTCTTGGATAAATTTTCCCATCAAACACCCCTCTATCATCATTATGGTCAGTTACCCCTAACCATCAAACACCCCTCACTATTCTCAGTGTTAGGCATCTCTTGCTGATCAACACCTTTACCATCCTTGGGGTTAGGCACCATTACTCCTGAAATACTAGAGCTGTGTATCGTGGTCTAGGTGGCGAGACGATATATCCCGATACCAGTTTAATTAGGCAAGACGATATATCATGAAAGTATTGGCAAGGAACCTGTGAGACAATTATCATCACGATACAATTGTGGCGATACAATACGTATTCCGATACTTTACAATTTCTAATAGCAGAACATATATGATAGATAAAATGACTGAATCTCTACTTGTTATTCAGCAGATCTTGTGTTACATTCACACACACTTAAAAAGCTGTTCATTTAATAAAGTTTCAGCATATATTGCTTTTAAAGTACAGTCAAACATATTCAGTATACTTTGATCTAACATATATAAGTTTGAAACCAAAGTTTCCTTTGGGAAGGTGTTGTTCTGCACCGATGCTTTCATAAACAATTGAATGTAATTTATATCAGAATTCAGAATCACTGAAAAAACTCTTAAGTATGCTTTCTAAATTTTATCTTCTCTTTCGTTCTCTTTCTTAAAAAAAGCTCAGACATTGTTCGTAGTTGTTAATAAATGGTGGTATTCAGTGTTCACGAAAGGTGTTTCAAATTCAAGGTAACAGGACATTGGGTCCTGCAAGTTTCAGATGTCTGTCTGACCCATTGAAAATTCACAGAACCAATAGAATTAAATTAAACATACATTTCAGATTTAACATTTCTCATAATTGGCATTGAAATTATTAACAAACATAAGATACATAAATAGCAAACAAGTGTCACATGTCACATATAACAACTTCAGTCAAAGTCATTGTCAAATACATGTATACAGTCAGACACTGGGGCGGGTGGGTTGTAGACTTCTATCGGACCATTGGCAAATCTGCCGGATTTGTCAGAGGGTCCGACACTATTCGTGAACACTGGGTATTTGTCAAACAACTAAAACATATTTCAATTACTAAAGACAAGTCAGGGGTTGAAATAACCCATTGCCCGACGCCCGCGTCCAGTGTTTATTCTGTCGGGCAAGCAAATTTGTATATCACACTGTATCGGTGTCCAGTTGATATTCCAATGTTAATTATGTTCTTTATTTAAAAAAATCAACAAGAAAACAGTCGGTATAGTGGAAAAATTATCAGGGCAAGTGATTTTACATGTGCCACTGTACCGGAGTACACTAGCAATTTTAAAGTTATTTCCACCCCTGCAAGTATTCTAGTATTTCTACAGTTCACAGAGTTTGAAAAATGTTCACCCTCTTTCACTTATACACCAACTCCTTTGTGCATGTAACAAAGATAACAGCCACAAACAAATTCCTAAAAGGTTCAATTTTTTTATAATTCAGAAGAATTTCAAAGAGACTCCCTTCCTATTCCTAATGCAATACTCCTTACAACTTTAACTAGTATTGAAGTTGTATCGGGATATATCGTCTCTTGTGGCGATACATTGATGTATCGTGGACCCTTGCAATATAAATATCCTGATATCCCAACACGAGCTGAATTCGACGTTCTGGTGATTTCGACGATTGCATTGCTCATGCTATATCGGGTGAGTATGCGTGTGCGATCGGAGTTCACAGACAGTTTTACTGGTAGGGCAGGTGCCCAGTCGCTGTCGTGAGAAGTTTTATTGACAATGGAAATCGGGAAGTATATATAAAAAGCAAACAAACATCAATATTATTTACCCGAGATCGTTAATACCACTTCAGATGCAAAATCAGTTGCCTTTATAACAAAAAAATAGCAAGCGAAAATTCAGTAAGATCAGTCGTCTGCTGGTGACAGGCAATATATAAATAGGAATCCACGTGATCACAACACTCCCTCGCAGTGCGGAGCGAAAAGTATGGCTCATCGTCGAAAATCCATACAAAATACCCGGATGTTACGAGTGGCAACAGTTTCGCCGATATGATGTCATCAACGCTATTTTTGTAGGAAACACTTGATATTTTTGTGTGAAATAGATGAATATATCCTTTATCACTCAAGGTTAGTAAAATAAAAACTTTAAATGATATTACAGATAAAAATGACGTTTTTGTCTTACATCGTCGAAAACCCCTGACACCGGGATATATTGCCTAAATGTGTTTTGTATCCATGCACTCGTATCGCGTAGTTGACGATCATCGATGAATCGTTACACCACTATGAAATACAACACTTGGAAGTTAATGTAGTGGCAGTAATCATGAAATTTAATACATGTGACAGTTGCTGGTTTGGCTAACGATGTCTGACCAGCGCGACCAACCAATATAGCATCTTGATCTTGCATTCCGTGTGAAATGATATCTTTACGGACTGGAATTGTTTAACGGGGAAAAAATATGCAACAAAATACGGTTCCGTCAATTTAAATTAGGGTACTGAAATGTCTACCAACTACATGAACATATACTTCAACTGATGAAGATATCTTAACCGCATTAAAAGTTATATAATCTTCATCACTACGTCAAAATTTCACCGGACTACCGTCACCTGTCTTGACAGCCTAGCAGACATCTTTTTCCGAAACGCTCACAGATGGGATCCATATGACGGAACCGTTATGGTAAAATTGAGAACATTCATGCATTGAAATATAACGTCATGGATACTTGGGTTTACAACAATAAACATACGCCAAAATATTCTTACCCATTTCATGCAATACAACCGGAAACCCTTCTTTTACATTTGATTTTATCCGATCAACCCACGCAGAATATTTATCAACGCAAAGCTATCAAGTAAAGCTGTTACCAATAATTCTATTGTCGTACTAAATAATAAAGATAAAAATATATCCTCAGAATGTTCTGTACATATCACTAATGAAAACAAACTTAGATATGTTTTCTTTGAACTAAATAATGAAATGCGATAGTTTTCATCACACTGGATACGAAACTTGCCTTAATAAAATATAAAGATAGTGCAACAACTAGTTACACTTCCTTTAATAAGAGATCCCAAAACGGTCCCGACACTGATACAGCAGTGTATGAAATAAGGCCCGTCCGACCGCCCGAGACGGGCTAGATTTCTGACGGACGGTCTAGATTTACCGCTAACCAGCCCTATGGTCTGGTAAAACCTTTTGACATTTCATACATATCTTGGTGTCTGGTCTGGTTAAATCCATTTTGGTCTGGTAACATCTTGAAGTTACCAGCCCTGATGTCTGGCTGGGTTTTTGGCTTATTTCATACACTGGATACAGTTTTGTCATTTTCATTCTTAATTTGTTCGTATTTATCTGTTTATTGGAGTAAATGACCTTGAACCAATGAGTAAATCAAAAGCAATCAGGAGTGGGCTCCAACAATCCTGTGTGACATAGTGTAAGCAGGCTCCTTGGTCTGAAACCCAATTTGGATCAACGTTTGTGCTTTATCGAGGGTAGGGCAAAACCCCACCCCGACAAAATCTCAACAGTGTGAAAAATGTTATGAAAACATGCCAATCAACTTATGTCATGAAAATATGATAATTAACTCACGGGGCTCTTGGTGAAAAAGGGTAGAAATATTTATGACATGTACAAATGGGGTTTTGCCCTATGTTGGTCATTTTGGGGTGGGATTTTGTCCAAAGAAATTTTGTCCTTTGAGATTTTGTCTGCTTGGGATTTTGTCCGTCTCCAGGTTTACCTCCTTATAACGGTAAGCTAAATACGTATAGGCTTGTTCCGATTTGGCCATATCCGCGTATTTAAAATATTCTTTTCTTGGTTAATAGTCCTAATACGGATAATATCGACAACACTTCAACAACCGAGGAGACTTACTAAATGTTATACCGTGAGAAGAAACACACCAGAAAGCGTGTTTATTACAATATTGTTGTTACTGTTTATTTGTTTCACACTTTCTGACATCTTGAAAATATCATCATATTTTTCAAATCCTGTTATACATTTTGACCGCCGGTTTTGAAAGAGGATGGCATGTGTTGATCAAATTTAGAAAGAAAGACGCATCTTTGAAATTTGTACGTTTGCGCGGGTACCACAAATGTTTCCAAATCGTTTGGAAGAGATCATCTTCAGTGTTGGTCACAACAGTAATAGTTGTTAGGGTAATAGCATTCTTAGAGAAGACGAAATGGCGGCTGCTAGAGATGCATTCGCGATATTTTTCAAGAAAGATAAGGTAAACCATGGTCCAACCGTGTAAATGTTTATACACATGTATCTTTAACATAGTCTGAATATAATACTTTTCATGACATGTTCTTTTATTGCCGAGCATATAACAAAAGTGGCCGATGTTTTGAGGCATGAATCATCGGGCTTCCTGTAGGCTCGTCATTTTGACAAGTCTTGTTACCGTGGTTGTCACCCAACTTCCCTAAAGATCTGTAGACGCCCTGTGTTATACGTGCAACAGAATTAATCTTTTTAAAATTAAAAAAAAAGATTCAGAAAGGCCACCTACATATTCTCCCCTGGTTAAATATTTTGACTCCTGATCCCCTGGCCCCCGACTTTGACATCCTCGTGGGAACTATAAATACACACTTCCTCCTTCTCAATCTAATTTTTCTAAAGTAGCCTCTAGAAATATCGTTGCGATTTTAAATTAGCTCTATCTTCTTTATGACAAACTGACAAGAGGACTACTTGTCGAGTTTTTGTCACCATATCGACTTGGGCATGTTGACTAGGAGATGGGAATTCTGAGTTGTAGTATTTAGGTTTGTACATTTACAGAACCGTAACCTAAATTCGTGGATAACCTTGATTCGTGAATTGCGGAATTATCATGCAAGCTCGTAAATTAAGTCTCAACTGACGTCACAGAACGGTACTTTTGATGTACATACAAGATACCGTTAGCTCCATCCTTCTCACTTCTCGTTGTCTGCTTTCCTTGGTTTCAATACTTACTGCGGTGGGATGTCGTACATAGTGGTATAAAGTAACCGACTATGTAATCCACGAAACAAGGTGATGTCACATTTTATGGGCACACGAATGTGTGATGATTGTAAATGGCTTCCGTAAACAAAGGTTTTATTCACGAGTGGAATATTAGGCATTTTAAATTTGCTGAATCAATGAATAAAATATTCAGTGCGTATACAAAATGAAATCATGCATTTAATATATGAATTTCGCCGCACTTCCCTTATATCCACGAATCAAGGTTACGCTAGTGTACTAATTTAGTCAAATTCCACCCTGATAGCTGTATCATGAATCTAAAATTGCATATTGCACTAAACAGGATACCACAACATGCTCAATACATGAAGTTGTTGGTTGTTTTTTCCCAGTAACAAGCTCTCTCACTAATCTTCTCAGGAGTGAATTACTTAAAAATGAAGTCCAATGGCCATTGGGATACCCTCGCGTCATAGGTTTCCGTGGTATTAAGAAATTTATGACTATGAATATGATCGCTCATATTGCCAAGTCATATAAACATAACTTTGTGTTAGACGACATACCTTTGTATGTATCATTTAATGTCAATAAAACATTTTTGTCATTCTGAAGTTCATTGTTGTCCGAATCGGACGACAGGCGTCCATTGTGCACAAACTCAGGTGACGTCATATGTTTCCGTGGTATTTCCTACAGATCAAATTACGGGCGCACAGCACATGTCACAATCTCACACGTTGTCAACAGCCAATCCGGGAGTGTCAAAGTAGGTTTACAGTAATAACGAAGTTGATAAATTGTAATACAGTAAACGATTTTGTAGAATTAACGCAATAGTCATATTTCTTCAGCATAAATTTCCAGTTCATAAAATATGTAGAGTTGATCAAAGGGATACGTGAAATGAAAAGTGAAAAAACAACTTAAGAGATGACCCTATCGGGCTTCCATAGTTTAAAAAATAGAGCTGGGATTCACCCCTTAGGTCACGTGATTGTTTTTATTGATGACATCAGCTAGCAGACGAGCGATGTTTGCAAAACTTTGAAGCTGAATTTGTTTATAGAAAATGTTTGTAAAGATCGCACAAAAAGTGCATTACATGCTAGACATAAAGTTGCATTAGTTTTTAATAGTAGATGACTGTAAGTAAGCAAATTGATGAAAGTCTGAACATTTTTTGCTCAGAGCCGTGACGATTGACTGATGAACGTAAACAATCGATAGGTGGCGCGATTTGTTGAGTGGATCGTGAGAAATTATGTCATGAGAAAATACCACGGAAACGTAAGTTCCACGGAATCATATGACGGCATGGTATGTCCATTTGACCATCCATTTGAATACATTACCGTGTTCACGAATAGAGTCGGACCCTCTGACAAATCCGGCAGATTCCCCAACAGTTCGAAAAAAGTATACAACCCGCAGGCCCCAGTGTCTGACTATATTTGACAATGACTTTGACTCAAGTTGTTATATGAGACACGTGACACTTGTTTGCTGTTTATAAATCTTATGTTTGTTAATAATTTCAATGCCAATTATGAGAAATGTTAAATCTGAAATATGTGTTTAATTTCATTCTATGGGTCCTGTGAATTTTCAATGGGTCAGACAGACATCTGAAACTTACAGGACCCAATGTCCTGTTACTTTGAAACACCATTCGTGAACACTGACATTAAACAGACATGTACCATCACACAGTTGCAAATCATGGTAATTCACAATTGCCAACAGAATTGGAATAAAAATGAAAACTTCTTTGTACTCGAAACACACCATCAGTTGTGATGTTTCTGGCTTACAGAATATACAGTTACTAATCAGTGTTTTCTCTGGAATTGTCTTACGAATGTCCCTATCAACAGTGGAGTAGTGTATGTTATTGTATTCTGAGCATGGTGAGAGATAGTGGATGTTTTTTAATATAAGAGGGTTCATCATCATGTTCGTTCAAGGCATCAACATTTGATTTTCAGTATGGCAACAAGGTGGGCATCTTTATTTAAAAATAATATTTTGAGAGTTTTCTTCAAATCTTTACTTTCATGCTTGGCTTCAAGCTAATGTTGGACATCCATCCTTTCTCTGATATCCATATTGATAAAATAACGAAATCATTTGATGCAATCTGACCATGCTGAAAGAAACTATGTCACTGGGTTTTTTTTTTTCACCTTTGATGAAACCCCAATTTTGAATCCGATTCATTTGAAAGCCTATTCTAGTTCATTTCTCAAAAAGGTCTGACATTTGAATAAGCCTGACAGGAGACCAAAACCAAAAGTACTGAACAACAAAATCTTTAGGGCAACCTGTACATATTTGGGCTGAAAGGAAAGATAGTAAGCTGCAATAAATACACTAAGAGGCGAATACTATATGTTTAACGAATATATTGGTCCAAATGTGATATTTATTCATCAATATTTATGTTTAATACCAATGGATTAAAATGACAAACATGTCATGTAATTGTTAAGGTTGCAATATTTCAGTGATTATGTCTGAAAAGGCAATGCATAGCAAACAATAGCCTAATGACGGTGCCATAAGGGGCCTTTTGAAAGTAACAAAAGTCAGGTTGCTGCATGGCTTGGTTATATTCCATTTTGCATATCTCACATAAATAAACAGCAAAATAGTTCCAATTAAAAACACTCCCGTGAAAATGTTCATAAATATTTTATCCAAGAGGCCACGAATAATGCACTGATTTCATGAAGGGATAACGTTTGATTTACTGAATACACAAGTGAATCGTAACAGTAATAGAAGATAGGAGTCTGGAAACTTTGCCTCATTTACAGTCAGTGCCAAACACTCTTCAGCTTGGAATTGAGCATGCCGGGTTGGAAGTAGAATTTTGCAGTTGTATATCACAGGGCCCATTTGCTGTAACGAAAATATAGAAAGTACTTATTGCATTTGACAAGAAACCACAACATGCTCAAAGATATACATTGTTGTTTAACACCGCACTACGCAATATTCCAACAATACAATCCAGTGATTGGAACATGAGCATTGATTCATGTTATTGGGATACAATAACATACCTAAAATGGGGAGGTATGAATCTTGAAATCTCACCACATCTACACATTACACTATTGAGCTTCCTGGTCTGAACTCACTTTTAAACATCAGTGTTTGTAGATTTAGTGTTATATTATTTACTATTATTAGATAATGTTACCAGACCAAACAAAATTTTATTTGACACAGAACTCAGAGAAGGAAATTGCAGACTGCATTTACCCATGAATAAGTGCCTTTTTATAATTTTTTGTATTTTTTTTTCAAATAGTTATGTAAAATGTACTAAACGTGCTGACATTTCAGACTTTCCGTCCCCGGAAGAAGTTTGAACATGGTACTATGAAGTACAACCTCCACAAACAGGCCAATGCTTCCCTCAATGCTGGGATTGACCTGAGAGAGGTTGTTCGACTCCCTCAGGGGGAGGACATGAATGACTGGATTGCTGTGCATGGTAAGGGAATAAACATATAAAACTTTGGAAGCTTCAATCTTATTAACTGACAACTGAGCAAAGATCTGAAGCAATTGTTAATGTTTGTTATTGGTCATCCTTCCATCAAATAGAACCTACCTGATCATTGTGAACGTGACGGTCGGAATGTGTTTTCTAATCATGTGATCTCTGATTGGTTATAACAGGGTATTCTGAATGACAGGGTTGTATTACTGATTCCTTCCAAATCATTGTCTAATTATTGCCTCAGTGAGATAAATATTTGACTCGGAAGAGATTTTCTATGGCCTGTCAGAAGTATTTGATCACCTATAAGTCATTCCAGAAATTTCTTTTGTTTGTGCTCAAATTTGGACTTGATATTTTTCAAAGAAAGAATCTAGAATGGAAGTCACATGTTTGAAATTTGTGGTATAAAGCTTAGAAATGCTGCTTTCCGATTGGCTAATGTCAATAGTTTTTGTTACTCCATTGGTTGGTTAAAGTCTGTTGAAAAACTGTTCTGACATGAACTATGTGGGATTCCTCAGATCGTTGTGTTGCATTATGGTAAAGTCTGTTGAAAAACTGTTCTGACATGAACTATGTGGGATTCCTCAGATCGTTGTGTTGCATTATGGAGCACAAAGATTTCGTTTTAATGAGATAATGGGCAGCTTGGGTTTTGTATGATGTAATTTAGAACAAAAATGTTCCAGACACAAGTTTGGAAATGTTAACAAATCTTGCCACAGGTTTTGAAAGAATAATTGCAGGCTGTTGACTGGATATCCTGAGAAAAGTCTGGTACATTCACGGCCCCGTTCCTCAACACGATCGTAGTGCTACGACAGTCGTAAGTCCATGTTAAAGTATGGGAGTTACGATCATCTTAGCGCTACGATCGTGTTGAGGAATGAGGCCCAGGGCTCCAGATAAGGGCCGTATCGGTCGTCTGTACAGATAAAAAATATGCACGATACGGTAGGAAATAATTTAGCCGATACGCACCACAGCAATGGTGTATGGTCTTAGAATCATTTACAGACGTATTTATCTGAAAAAAAAGTATTGTTTTATTGTTTATTGACCTGTTTACACAAGAGTAGCAATGTTGTGGTGCATATATGAAACAAAACACAAGATTACTGATAGTACATTAGCTTCCATTCAGTACTCTAAATGTACACTAAGGTTTTCCAGTACTCAATATTGAACAAATAAGGAGTACATACTCCTGATGTTGAAAAATTATCTGGAGCCCTGTACATTGGCTGAAGGTCATGTTCTTAAAGAGTAACCTCCCTTTCCATATTGCTTTTCCTTGATGTTTTATTACTGAAATATCTCCACACACTTGGTTACATAGTTTTTCCACCCAACCTATGGTAGACTTTGTTTTATTTTTCAGTGGTTGACTTCTTCAACAGAATTAACCTTCTCTATGGTACAATATGTGAACACTGTACTGAACAGACTTGCCCAACGATGTCAGGAGGACCAAAGTGAGTTATTGCTTTACCTTGATGTTTATGATCCAATGACCCTATCCACAAACTGTTCGTTGGACTACACTAAGCCTATGATAAAGTGAGTGAGTGGGTTTTACACCACACTCAGCAGTATTCCGGTTGTACGGTGGCAGTCTGTAAATAGTCGAATCTGGACTAGACATTCCAGTGATCAACAGCTTGAGCATCGATCTACGCAATTGGGATACGGAGCCATGTGTCTACAAAGTCAGCGAGCCTGACCACCCTATCCCATTAGTCGCCTTTTACGACAATCATGGGTTACTGAAGATCAATTCTAACCTGGATCTTCATGGTCCCTATGATAAAGTATGGAGTTGCGATAGGTTGTAATGCTATGAACAACTTGTGGATCAGGACCATGCCTCATACTCCTGTACATCCAAGTTACAATAGGTGTGTAGTACTCCTTTGCTTGTTGTGAGGTGACTAAACTGGATTGTGTCATCAGTTGTTGCTATTAGGGCTTGTTGTGAGGTGACTGAACTGGATTGTGTCGTCAGTTGTTGCGATTAGGGCTTGTTGTGAGTCGACTGAACTGGATTGTGTCGGAGTTGTTGCGATTAGGGCTTGTTGTGAGGTGACTGAACTGGATTGCGTCGTCAGTTGTTGCGATTAGGGCTTGTTGTGAGTCGACTGAACTGGATTGTGTCGTCAGTTGTTGCGATTAGGGCTTGTTGTGAGGTGACTGAACTGGATTGCGTCGTCAGTTGTTGCGATTAGGGCTTGTTGTGAGTCGACTGAACTGGATTGTGCTGTGAGATGACATTTGCTATTAGGGCTTGTTGTGAGGTGACTGAACTGGATTGTGTCGTCAGTTGTTGCGATTAGGGCTTGTTGTGAGGTGACTGAACTGGATTGCGTCGTCAGTTGTTGCGATTAGGGGCTTGTTGTGAGGTGACTGAACTGGATTGCGTCGTCAGTTGTTGCGATTAGGGCTTGTTGTGAGGTGACTGAACTGGATTGCGTCATCAGTTGTTGCTGGTTGCTATAGGGCTTGTTGTGAGGTGACTGAACTGGATTGCGTCGTCAGTTGTTGCGATTAGGACTTGTTGTGAGGTGACTGAACTGGATTGCGTTGTGAGTTGTTGCGATTGGGGCTTGTTGTGAGGTGACTGAACTGGATTGTGTAATTAGGGCTTCAGTTGTTGCTATTAGGGCTTGTTGTGAGGTGACTGAACTGGATTGTGCTTGTGAGTTGTTGCGATTAGGGCTTGTTGTGAGGTGACTGAACTTGTTGTGAGTGACTGAACTGGATTGTGTCGTCAGTTGTTGCTATTAGGGCTTGTTGTGAGGTGACTGAACTGGATTGCGCTTGTGTTGTTGTTGCTATTAGGACTTGTTGTGAGGTGACTGAACTGGATTATGCGTCAGTTGATTTGCGATTAGGGCTTGTTGGGAGTGACTTGGATTGTGAGTCCAGTTATTCTGATGATAACTGGATTGGCTTGTTGTTGTGAGGTGACTGAACTGGATTGGCGTCAGTTGTTGCGATGTTGCGAGGTTGAACTGGATTGTGTTGTTGTTGCTATTGGGGCTTGTTGTGAGTCGACTGAACTGGATTGCGTTGTGAGTTGTTGCGATTGGGGCTTGTTGTGAGGTGACTGAACTGGATTGCGTCGTCAGTTGTTGCGATTAGGGCTTGTTGTGAGTGACTGAACTGGATTGCGTTGTGAGTTGTTGCGATTGGGGCTTGTTGTGAGTCGACTGAACTGGATTGCGCGTTGTGAGAGATGTTGCGATTAGGGGCTTGTTGTGAGGTGACTGAACTGGATTGGCGCCGCGTGAGTTGTTGCGATTAGGGCTTGTTGTGAGGTGACTGAACTGGATTGCGTCGTCAGTTGTTGCGATTAGGACTTGTTGTGAGGTGACTAAACTGGATTGCGTTGTGAGTTGTTGCGATTATGTCTTGTTGTGAGGTGACTGAACTGGATTGCATCATCAGTTGTTGCTATTAGGGCTTGTTGTGAGGTGACTGAACTGGATTGCGTTGTGAGATGTTGCGATTGGGGCTTGTTGTGAGGTGACTGAACTGGATTGCGTTGTGAGTTGTTGCTATTAGGGCTTGTTGTGAGGTGACTGAACTGGATTGCGTTGTGAGATGTTGCGATTGGGGCTTGTTGTGAGGTGACTGAACTGGATTGTGTCGTCAGTTGTTGCGATTAGGGCTTGTTGTGAGGTGACTGAACTGGATTGCGTCGTCAGTTGTTGCGATTAGGGCTTGTTGTGAGGTGACTGAACTGGATTGCGTTGTGAGATGTTGCGATTGGGGCTTGTTGTGAGGTGACTGAACTGGATTGCGTTGTGAGTTGTTGCGATTAGGGCTTGTTGTGAGGTGACTGAACTGGATTGCGTCGTCAGTTGTTGCTATTAGGGCTTGTTGTGAGGTGACTGAACTGGATTGTGTCGTCAGTTGTTGCGATTAGGACTTGTTGTGAGGTGACTAAACTGGATTGCGTTGTGAGTTGTTGCGATTATGTCTTGTTGTGAGGTGACTGAACTGGATTGCATCATCAGTTGTTGCTATTAGGGCTTGTTGTGAGGTGACTGAACTGGATTGCGTCGTCAGTTGTTGCGATTAGGGCTTGTTGTGAGTCGACTGAACTGGATTGTGTTGTGAGTTGTTGCGATTGGGGCTTGTTGTGAGTCGACTGAACTGGATTGCGTTGTGAGATGTTGCGATTGGGGCTTGTTGTGAGGTGACTGAACTGGATTGCGTCGTGAGTTGTTGCGATTGGGGCTTGTTGTGAGGTGACTGAACTGGATTGCGTCGTCAGTTGTTGCGATTAGGACTTGTTGTGAGGTGACTAAACTGGATTGCGTTGTGAGTTGTTGCGATTATGTCTTGTTGTGAGGTGACTGAACTGGATTGCATCATCAGTTGCGATTATGTCTTGTTGTGAGGTGACTGAACTGGATTGCGTTGTGAGATGTTGCGATTAGGGCTTTTTGAGAGGTGACTGAACTAGATTGCGTCGTAAGTTGTTGCGATTAGGGCTTGTTGTGAGGTGTCTGAACTGGATTGCGTTGTGAGTTGTTGCGATTAGGGCTTGTTGTGAGGTGACTAAACTGGATTGCATCATCAGTTGTTGCGATTATGTCTTGTTGTGAGGTGACTGAACTGGATTGCATCATCAGTTGTTGCGATTATGTCTTGTTGTGAGGTGACTGAACTGGATTGTGTTGTGAGATGTTGCGATTGGGGCTTGTTGTGAGGTGACTAAACTGGATTGTGTCGTCAGTTGTTGCGATTATGTCTTGTTGTGAGGTGACTGAACTGGATTGCGTTGTGAGTTGTTGCGATTGGGGCTTGTTGTGAGGTGACTAAACTGGATTGCATCATCAGTTGTTGCGATTATGTCTTGTTGTGAGGTGACTGAACTGGATTGCGTCGTCAGTTGTTGCGATTAGGACTTGTTGTGAGGTGATTGAACTGGATTGCGTCGTCAGTTGTTGCGATTAGGACTTGTTGTGAGGTGACTGAACTGGATTGCGTCGTCAGTTGATAAATGCCAAAGTATCGTGCACTGAAGCTGCGATACGATATGAATCCTGATTTAAGGGTGACGATACGATACGTATCATGATACTAAAATATTTAATCCTAACACCAACTATAAATAATCTGAATATCCAAACAAAACCATTTTAAAGTATTTCGTCAAATTCCGCCATCGTTTTTCAATGTTCATTCAGAAACGAGATAATTAAGTTTATACACGGACTTTGGAAATGATAATAACATGTGAGCTCTATGTCGGACACAGTTCTTGAAGCAAGAATTTCCGAGAAAACGTTTACTTATGAAGGGAAAATAAGTAAGCAAATATTTTAATCATCAAACAAAAGTGAGTCTTTTCTCTTGACAGATATCGCGATTCGGCAATATTCAAACTTAAACATCGATGTATCGTTGCCCATTTGAAGTATCGTATACGGGATATACGACAATGTAAAACTTTGTATCGATTCACTGTATCAGCGGCCCATGGATCGATACTTATCGATGAATTGTCACACCACTTGTTGTCACTCAATGTCAGGCTCGCTGACTCGGTTGACACATGTCATCATATCCAACACGTCATTGATCACTGGATTGTCTGGTCCAGACTCTATTGTTTACAGACCGCCGCCATATTGCTGAGTGCAGCGTAAAACTAAACTTGCTAAAAATTGAATTACTGCCTTGAATGTGTCTATCAGCATTATATGAATGTTAAGTTTTGGTGGGCTATGTAATGCATGCTACAAGAAGCCGGCTGTCTACCTGGTAGTGGCTATGTTTGTTGTGGCGCTATTTGAGACAAATCCTGGCTAATTCTTTTCTGTGCTGACATCTGACATCTTGCTACAGGTATGAGTACTTCTGGAGTGATGGTCAAAACTACAAGAAAGCCACAGCCCTCCCTGCATCTCGGTATATCGCACTTCTCATGGAGTGGATAGAAACTCAGATTAATGATGAGAACATATTCCCTGTTTCTGCAGGTAGGTTATCAGTCTTGTATCTTCATATCAGTCCCCACATCTCGGTATATTGCACTTCTCATGGAGTGGATAGAAACACATTACCATGTTCCACTTACCAATACATCTATCAATTATTTGAGTCATTTTGCAGACGCACTAAAGCCTAACATAGTGATTGTCGTATCATTAGGGAGTATAGAAACCGACCCCAAATGCTGTGCTAATTTGTTTTGTTTATGACTTTGAGTTGGTGATCTGTGTCTGGGTGATTGTTGAAAGAAGTTAGTGAGCAAATAACGAAGCATATGACCTTTTGTAAACCAACTTCTTGTTTATTGCATAGATTGATGTTCAGAGCAGATTCTTACACGGTTAATGATAGTGCTGTAAGAATCTACTTCGGCACTTAGCATTTAGCAATAAACAAGAAGGCGTATCCTTTGTTATATCTGGTGGTAAGAAATTGGAGTTGTCTCCCTTCATGCATCATTTACTCCATTCGTCACCACTCACCCCTTTCTGTAACCTCCAAGAAGACTCGTCCCCCACTCGATACTTGTTATGTGCGAAAATACGACAGACCAATCAGAACGCGCATAAATGAGCGTGGTGCTTTGATAAAAATAATCCCAAGTACTTAAATCATTTATGGCATTATGTCATTGTTTCAAAAATCATGAAAAATATATATCGTCATATTGAAAGTACACAGAACGTAGCTAAAAGGATTTTGCTGCCTTTATGAAGTTTTTAATAAGAATCATGCGATTGACGGTGAGAGATTCAAATACACGACATGCGTTTGTTGACATAACTGCTCTCATGGGTCCAACTGCGTGTATTTCTGACGATCTTGCGGGCTTGTTATGGAGATTGTACGTGCGCTTCGACCATTTTTAGGAAATGTAATTATACTCGCTACGAGTTTCAAAACAATAATATCGTATTTGTATGTAACTAATCAACCTTAATCTTTAACATTCGGCTTATATTTCATAGCTCTGGGGATATTTTAGTCTGACTGTTCTTTGATCATTCATATTTTTTCAGCAAATTCATTTAAATTCCACCAGGGTGTGACAACACGGTTCCACGAATGTTCAGTTTGAGAAATATTTCAAGTCATTTTTGAGTGTCTGCTTTGGGATTTAATGTAGCTGAAAAAATATTATTTTATTGGTATATTCAATAAGACAATTCCCATTGAAAATGTATTGCATTCATTTAAAAAAAATACATCCTTCAATGAGGTGCAATATTTATAGAATAAAAATGTTATTGTATGGCAATTTTGTATCATACCTCATTTCAACCCTTAATCCCATATCAGCCAAAAGCTCTCAGTCTGATTTTGAGCCTCCGTTGATGGTGAGTAAGATATGAAAACAGCCATATTTAAACCTCTAATGATCTTATTGGTTGCACAGTATTGACAAGCTTATTAAATAGGTACATCCGCCCATAAGGGTATATTGTGCATTGATTCATTGCCACATTGTTTGAATCTTGTTTCAGAGACACATTTTCCCAAGAACTACCTTCAAGTGGTGAAGAAAATCCTCAGTCGCCTCTTCCGAGTCTTTGTCCATGTCTACATCCATCACTTTGACAAACTTGTTGCCATTGGCGCCGTATGTAAACTTTTCTCAAAGAATTCTCATCTTTTGTCTGTTGTTAGTGTTCGAACCAAGTAGGGGCCATGGGGTAGTAGAGTTGTTAAAGCCGAAGACCCGGGTTTCATTCCCCACACGAGTACAATGTCTGAAGCCCATTTCAGAAGTCCCCAACCATGATATTGCTGGAATATTGCTTAAAAACAAAACTCACTCAATCCATCATTCAAACCAAGTAATCCTAAAGTCCGACCAGGTGGATAAGGTATTCATACTCCCAGTAATTGCTGGCTGACTGTCATGGTGTACTCTTGATCCTCCCAGAAGCCAGTAAAGTTTGTACTGAATTTTACCCCCATTTGTTGTCAAAGCCATATGTAAAATAGATCTGCAGTAATGTTAAAGATGATTCTATTTTATCATTTTGAAGAAAATGCCAATGGTTTTGTAAAAGAAATCTTTGCTAGACATTTAGAAGATGTAAGAACATGAAGATATGAATCTTTACGAATAAGAACTCTTTTGTAATGTTTGTGAGTGAGTGAGTTGGGTTTACGCCACTTTTAGCAATATTCCAGCACCCAAAATGGGCCTCACACATTGTACCGATGTGGGGAATCGAACCCGTGTCTTTGACTTAACCAGCGAATGTTTTAACCAATAGGCTACCCCACCGAGCCCTCATTTTTTATGAGTTTCATGGCCACTTGTTGCATCTTCATCAGGTGAATGTGTCTGATGCATTCACTGAATGGGGCTAGAAGTAGCCCTGAGACATTGCTGCAGAAAAATAGAAGTCATAAACACAAATGTTTCATAGTTATGACACAGATGCCGCTTCAGTCCCATTAAGATCTCACTATCTCTGGCGGTGGGGTAGCCTAGTGGTTAAAGCGTTCACTAGTCAGGTTGAAGACCTGGATTCGATTACCCACATGGGTACAAATCTACAATGTGTCAGAGGTACAGGTAAGCTGCGTATCTGCGTAAATTACGCAAATATTTATTTGAAAACCCAATTCCTATTACGTCTGTTGCGTACAAGTACGCTTGTATTTTTATAAATACTCAATAAATTTGATTGTACATGCGCACACAGAAAACTGTCAAATCTTAGCTTTCGTACCAGTGGATAGATAAAGCAGCTGAGGTATATTTAGAGGTTCTATTTCGGCACATGAACACTCAACTAGCAGTCGTTTCTCATATAACAGATCAAATATAAATAACAAACACTAACATTTAAACTTTATTATATTTATCAATTAATGGAAAAAAGGCAAAATACCCAATTGAGTTTGAGTGCAGTGAGTACAATTTGTTTGGTTACTCAAAGGAAAATTAGGATACCCAATTGAGATGAAGACAAGCGGGTACATAACTCATGACCCAAAAAGTTATCTGTAGCTCTGATGTGTGTAGCTCATTTCTGGTGTCCCCTGCTGTGATATTGCTGGAATATTGTTAAATGCGGCATAAAACTAAACTCACTCACTCACTCTCATTATCTCTAAACAAAGATATGAGGACGTGACATGGATCATGTCAGAACTACCTTTCATGAACTTTGATCAACCAATGAACAAGACGCTTACATTGGCCAATCAGAAACCAGCTTTTTTGAGCTATGCTGGCCACAAGTGAAATGTGTGTGTGAAAGCCTGCTCTTTGTTTCAGGAAGCTCATGTAAACACCTGCTACAAACACTTCTACTACTTTGTCAATGAGTATACTCTGGTGGATAAGAAGGAACTAGAACCCTTGGTAAGATACTGCTAATATTTGTACTGTATGGTACAACTGTGTCATTATGTGTCCCTTATTTGTGTGACCGCCTCCGTGGTGTAGTGGTTAGAGCGTCCGCCCGGGGTGCGGAAGGTCGCGGGTTCGATCCCCGACCGCGTCATACCAAAAGACGTTAAAATATGGTACTTGTTGGTCCCTGCCTGGCTCTCGGCATTAATGGGTACAACAAGGACTGGTCGGCTCGGAGTCAGTATACTGTGTCTGAGTGGGGTATTCATGCTTCACTGGGGCATGGTATCTCAGTGGGCTAGCACTATAAAACCAGCTTCAGTCTGGGCTAGTACAAGCAGCCCCACATACACATACACACGCATGCACGTCGTCATATGAGCGAAATATTCTCAAGCACGACGTTAAACCCAATTCCACCACTACCACCGTATTTGTGTAGGATCTGTCATAACTATGTTTATGTGGTACTCAATGGTGCTGCAATATACTGTGAACAGTTATGTCCCCTATATGTGCCAGGATTTGACATACCTGATTTCATGGGGTCCATGGTTCTGCAATTTACTATGAATGGTTATGTTCCCTACATGTGCTAGGATCTGACATGTCTGTGTGAAGGGGGTAATTAGTGTTGCAAATGGCAGCATAGAGTTGTATCCCTTGTTTGTGCTAGGATCTGAAATGGCTGTGATCCATGGTACAATAAATAACTATATGGAGTTGTGTCCCTTCTATGTGCAAGGATCTTATATAGTTCTGTGACATTGTCTCTACTGCTGCAATTCATTTGTGTAGAGTTGTCACTTACATATGCTAGAATCTCACACACTTGTTTGCATGGTACTGCAGTTGGCTATGAAGAGTTTTGTCCCTTATATGTGTAAGGATCTGATGGTGCTGGTTCTAGAGGGATCCCTTTGCTTGTGAATCTAATGATGAAGTGTACATGGTTTCATAAGAGCAAGCATGAATTTTGCATATCGTATGTAAGCCTTTTTGGAAACTTTATGTAAAGTTTTTATGTATTGACTGTCTAGAAACTCTATTCTTTACTTGTTTTTTCAGAGAGAGATGACGGAGAAGATCTGCCACTAGTGTTGCCAGCCACCGTAACAAGCTGTACATTGCAGCCTTCACCAAGCACTACCAGTGTAGAAACGCAGGGCTATATTTTTGTGTCTGTGAGCGATGGGCTAGTTTGTATGCACAGAACCTGCTCTGTGAAATCATGGCCTAATTTGTCTGACTAAAGTGCAGTTTTAGGGTGAACGTTACATTGAGACATAGCAACATCAAAATAGGCTACCAAAACAAGAAATTGTGCCCATGCATGGAATTATTGCAGTACTTTATCATTGAGGAATGTTAGACTTGTGATCATATCATGTCATCTGATTGTTTCAAAAAGTGTAGAACATGTGTCTCCGAATTCGTACATCAGGAAAGAAATTGAAGAACGTTGCTTTCTCAGCTGTACTGTAATCGTGTCACTGTGGACGTTTTTGATGGATGTTTTGAAAGTGTCTTGAGATTGTGTACAGTTATTATGGAATGGTGCTTCCAAAAATTTGACACAAGTATCAGGGACTTATCTAGGAATTTAAACTTGCATCATATGGTCCTTAAAATGTGTAAACGAATAGAAATGTTAAAATAGGTTAAAATTAAAATTATTTTATTGGGAAAGGATATGCCATTGTGAATTTGTAACCAAAATTCTGTATCGTTTGTGGGCTATGAGGTGTTGTTAAAGCCTAGATAAGTCTCTGGTGGTGTATAATAGAACCAGTACCCTGTTCATAGTCATTCCAGTGCAAGCATTTCAGATAGTGGACAGATTCTAATCTCATAAATATTTTATTTTGACTCCCGTGCAGTGTCTCTCAGTAGGAAGACCTGATGACACCTTAGTGGAGGGACAATGAGGTGAAGCATTAGGAGACTTTTTGTTTAACCAAAGAAATTTTAACTTTGACCAACAGACCCATACTGTACACAAATATTTCTTTGATGTGTTTGGGTGAAGGTGTCGCAGTGCTCAAAAATGACAGTTTATTTACTGTGGCGGTGACTGAGTTAAATTTGGAACTGATCCTTTTTAATTCCTTGTCAAGATAAGAGAATGAAATATTCTGGTCTGAATTTTCAATTGTACCTTGGATTCATAAGTCTGGATATACACCCGACACGACCTCCCAAGAGGAGTCATCATATCTTCATGCAGGGGGTATTTGTATTGGGGTTAAAGATCAAATTTTGTTGAGATTGGACAGATTGCAGCTTGCTAGCTAGGATCCTTAGTGACAAGCTTTAACAATCAACATCATTTGCCTCAGGACTGGTTGCGTCTGACTTGTTGCTTCCGAAATCCACCGATTAGTCTCTTTCGTCAGTAATGTCCGACAGGCAGTTCCAACATTTTGTAAACACTTATTTACAGATAAATATGCCAAAATCCTGGCTTATGATGCTCAAAGTTTCATCTGTTTTTGTGGCAATTTTGTAGCCTGAAACAAAATCGAACGTTTTACATTAATACTTTCTCAGGTTAACTTCTGTGCAACATTACTCTTGCCTGAGAAGGTATATAAGTCTGTGCAAGTTTATACATTGAGGAAGACAAAATATTACCATGGAAGAACATGGCGCTGTCATCTCATGGTGTTGAATGTATGTTATAAGAATTGACAGTCCGCCCAGCCTGAAATGTAATACACCTATTAGGAGCTGTTTGATGAAGCTCTAGGGCATTCTCGTTTGAGTATACTTTCATACCTTAGGGTGATTTAAGACAGCTTTAATGAAGGTGTGATAACATAGACAAGCCTATTGAACTATTCTTGTTGTCTTGATCAACTTGAAAGTTAATTTCCTTCATCAATTTCTTACACATTTTCAATTTTGTCAACAGTATGACGTATTGATTTGGAATGGTGAAGGGTATATCTTGTCTGCATTATCACACCACTCCAGTAATGTCATAACATGTAGTGTTGACATCTCATTCATGCCAAGCCACTATCATCCTCACCACACAGGGGATGTTGCATTCTGGTCATACACTTACTAACCCTGGATTCCCCTCTGAACCGTCTAAAGCAAACATTTTCAGTCGGATCAATATGCATTAATCACTAGACTGTGTGTCTTTATATCCCCTTGAAGGAAACAGTTTTTCGGATAATGTAATGACTGTGCATACGCTGTTTAACTGTTTGATGATCAGAGTGCAATGCCTGAGGATGTATTTGTGTTTTATAAGTACCCTTCATCCTTATCATGTTATCAGTCCACAGATCGTGACATGCTTGTGGCTGTTCCAACACTGAGACAAGGCTTCGGCCACTCCTAATACAGAATAGTATAATCCTACATGCCATGTCAGCAGTGCTTCCAAACATGAAAGGTTTTGTTTTCTCAATCATCTGATAATGCAGTAATACAGTGAACCTCCCAGTTCAAGGGAGGTAACCTGTGAAAGACTATAGAAAATTAAACAAGGAAATTTGCCAGTCAAGATTTACATAAACAGTTACATCTTCCATAATCAAAGAAGATGTGTTAAAAGTCGTTTTTATTTGTTTGGGAATAAAACATGGAAATTCTTTGTCAAAAGATAAGAGATCTGAGCTTTATTTCACTTATTGTTAAGATTCAGATGACATCTAGAGTGGTGGAGCGTCTATTATCATTGTCTCGTGACTGGCTCAGAACAATCTATTTCCGAATTATCGGCAAAGATATCTTTTACCCCCCAGAGCTATCAGCTTGAGACAACGATCAAGTGTCTCAATAAAAAAAAGATTATTGAAATCTGTGAAGCAGTGTGTCGTGGCCTTGTCTGTGGTCTGAGGACATCACATTGGCTGCCACAAATCTGTGACCAATTGCTGTGTTACCCTACCTAGTCATATGAACAGTCGAATCATTACATGGCTGTTGCATGGTGTAAATATTGTGTAGTTACTCTGTTCCTTTTCAATGTCATAATCAAACATTTGTCATTCACATTGGAGTCTTGGATCTCGCACGTGAACAAGGATTTTGTCTGCAGACTGAGTTATGGGTCCCATGTTTTCAAATGAAGCCACATTAGAGGGTTACTTTGTTAAGGTTGAACCTTTGTTAACCAGTAACTTCCTTCAGTGGACAGTCAGTGATCAGTTAGGTCCTCTATCCAGGAGTCCTTTTTCTGTTTGTCTCAGATGCTCAGTACTTAAAATGATTCTGATGGATTTGAACTGACCAATTGACCCTGTGTTGATACAGGGTTAGAATATAGGCCCACAGCAGACTATGCCTGTCATATGAGGCCATTAAATGGATCAGGTGGTCAGACTGAGTCATTGTATCCCAGCTGGTGCTCCTGAAGTTTCTGGTCCAGACTCGGTTATTTACTAATTGATGTCATATTGCTCGAATAATTGCTGTCCACAGCATTAAGCAAGGAACAAACAAACTGTCTGGATTAACAGAGTTGTATATTATAAATTTCTTAAACAGCAATATCATACCTTTGTGAAATGGGGCCAACTTTTAAGAAATTTGCATCAAACTGTAACTTGAAAGAACACATTTTCTGTGGTAGGGTTAATAAAAAAAATAATTTGTTAAGGGATTTGAAAGATAGCTTCATTTTGAAATTCTAACACTCAAACATGTCCTTTGTTAGCCTGTGCAGTTGAAATGATAAAATATGGATCTGCTGGTGCTAGAGGAAGAACTCATCTTTTCACAGCTAATGTGGGGAATTTGACTCACCAGATTTTGGATTCATATTCAATATGATATTTGCAGTGTGTAATTCAATTACAATCTTCAGTAGATATTTGAATTGTAGTGATGAATGAAGTTGTCCTCCCTTCCAGATATAAATCCTGCAAAGGCTATTTTTGTAGCATCAGGTGCTGTTCCACAAAGTTATCATAGGGATAAGGTGATCTATCATAGCACTAAGGTGATCGGTCGTAGCACTAAGGTGATCAATTGCAGAGCAAAGGTGATCGATCATGGCTCTAAGGTGATCGATCACAGCACTAAGGTGATCTATCATAGCGCTAAGGTGATCGATCATAGCGCTAAGGTGATCGGTCGTAGCACTAAGGTGATCAATCGCAGAGCAAAGGTGATCGATCACAGCACTAAGGTGATCTATCATAGCACTAAGGTGATCGATCATAGCGCTAAGGTGATCGATCATAGCTCTAAGGTGATTGATCACAGCACTAAGGTGATCGATCGTAGCACTAAGGTCATCAATCGCAGAGCAAAGGTGATCGATCATAGCGATAAGGTGATCAATCGCAGCACAAAGGTGATCGATCGTAGCTCTAGGGTGGTTGATCTTAGCACTAAGATGATCCATCATAGCTCTAAGGTGATTGATCTTAGCTCTAAAATGATTGATCTTAGCGCTAAGGTGATTGATCATTGTGCTAAGATGATCGATTGTAGCAGTAAGATGGAAAGATTAAACATGTAACAGTTGAAATGCTCTGATTGTCTTGTGGAACGAGGCACTGGTCTTATTTCGTGACCATACATTTATATGTCAATTGCAATTTATCAAGCATTTCTTATGCTAATGCTTTGGATTTGCTACAATGTTTACTATTTTCTAAACTGTATACATGATGTGCATTGTTGCCATACCTTATAGCTGACATAAATGTTGAGTCTTTCATAATTCCATCAGTAATAATTTTCACTGTCAGCACCAGTGTTGTAGTTGTTGCACATGCACTATATAACTTCCTCAAATATCTGGTCAAGTTGTGTCTGTAGTGCTCCCAGATGTATTCTGTCCATTTGACAAAATATCCTTATAAGAATGAAAAGATTTTATATGGTGCCTGGCTCTGGTTGGAGAAATACAGTTCTTTTGAGCTGAGTTGTCTCCCTTAGCTGTACCATGATACAGTGGTTGTGGGTTTGAATCCTGCACCACTTGACTTTCCTGTCACATTGAGCTAGATCTGAATACTCTTGACTTACTTGGCTCACAGGCTGATGGGGTAGCCTAGCTGTTGAAGCATTCACTGGTCACACCATAGTCCTGGGTTTGATTCCCCACATGGGTACAGTCTGTGAAGTCTTTGTGTCCTCACTGTAGTCCTGGAATAACACTGGAAGCGGTTTAAATCCATCCTCACTATTCAGATTCACTCAAGGTATGGTGTCTATAACACCTCATTTCTGAGGGTTTTGTTATCTGCATAATTTGAATTGTCAGGATGACCCCGCTATTTGTCACCACTGTCATATTGTCAAGGAGGGGGATGTGGGACAGTATGGGCATGACTTAACCTAGGTATATGAGGGAGAAAAGATTCTTGTCAGTGTACCGATTTGAGTGATACAGTGTGCTTATGTATTGTTTCATTGTTAATAACTATATATGTATGTACACTCTTGTCAACCACTCTGGGCTCTTTGGGTAGTCATGAACTATCAGCTGATTAAAAAATAAATGAAGTTGTGATAAACAGAATATTCTTAAATATACTTTTTTCACAAGCATAGGGTAAATATTGATGGGTTTTCTATTTTCTTTTGTCTCCTAGAAAATATTTTCATGTTTCAATTAAAGAATGTGACCTTCGACGACAACTGCCAAAAATGTTCACTTCATATAATGCAGATATTGTGAGAGATTTTTCTTACAGATATAATCAGATTTGTGACTCATCAAGGGCCCATACTTGTTGCTTGGAGTTGAATATTTTGTTGAGAAATACTTGTTTCTAGATTGTTGTAGCAGTTTGCCTCTGCATAATCTATTGCTGTTTCCGTACGTGACAATTCAATCATATTTGAAGCTTACACTTTCAGACAAATTTACGCGCCACATGGGTACATTGTGTGAAGCCCATTTCTGGTGTCCCCCGCCGTGATGTTGCTGGAATATTGCTAAAAGCGGCGTAAAACCAAACTCACTCACTCACTCACTCAGACAAATTTACATGAAATGTGTCATATTTCAGTTAAATTCTAAAAGATAGTTTGAAATATTTTCTTTAAATCCATTGGTAAGGTGTATTTGTTGAATGTAAAATGTTTATTCTGATCGTATGATATTTAAAATGATAAATGATTATTAATAAAGTTGTCCTTTGTAAACTAAACTATTATTAGGTTCTTATCTTTGCAGTAGATGGAAAAATAATAAGAATTAAGGGTTAAATCTGACAAGTTTATTCCTGTTTTTCATGACGTTTAATGTTCCGAAAAAACATTTCAACTTTGAGAAACATTTTTGAACATTTTTAACCAGGATGTCACCTGACAGTGTAAGCTTCCACCCTCATTTTGAAATGTATATACTCTTGTGATGGGTAAAGGTCTTAGAATGGTTTCTTAAATTGTAGAATTTCAGCATATTTTTCTGTCATGCTTGTTTGATCCATTGTAAATATATTCTTGTGCCTGTGTTTTAAAGCATTTTGTACATTGTAGTTCACTGACTGGACAATTTTATGAAGCAATATTGTGAGATTTTAGAAAGTCCCACCTAACAGGGTCAGATGAAGTGTGACTCATTTCATTGGTGTTTGGAGGGCCAAAATAGTGACTGTTTTTGTAGTAATCAACATTCAAGCTCATTTTACAGGAATTCTGGTCTTTCTTATTTCTGTAAACAACATTGCAATGTAGCATTCCGTTAACATTAAAGGTTCATGTTTATAGTGTGGCTAGAACAAGTCATTATTATGCAGATTAAAGATTAACATCCTGTAACCTGCCTTCAAATATTTTGGTTCAGGGCCATCAAGCAATAGGCACGAATAGCCCTGTTGTCTCAGGTGACATAGTTTGATGTGCAGAGTCATGTCCCTTAGGTGTTACAGGAAACTGTGATCCCAACTGGGTTTATAGCACCTGTCCCATGCTTATGGGTTACACCTATGAAGTAAATGTGTTAGGCCTGCCTCACTGCTGACTTCCACATCAAAAGGTGGCGATTTAACTGACACACTATTCAGCTGCTGTATCAAATTGGAGCGGTGGGGTAGGCTAGTGGTTAAGGCGTTCGCCGAGGACCCAGGTTCAATTCCCCACATGGGTACAATGTGTAAAGCCCATTTCTGGTGTCCCCCGCTGTGATATTGCTGGAATATTGCTAAAAGCGGCGTAAAACTAAACTCACTCACTCACTTTATCATATTGGAAAGCTGTCATTATGAACATGAACCTACAATGTAAATCTTTAGTTTTAGCACTTCTGTGATGTCTGACAGCTCTTACTCTTTAGAGTAGTCTATTGCTCATGAAAATATTTATATATCTATATCCTAAAGTCCCTTATTACCAGTGTGAATTTTTCGGATGGTTCTGAAAATATGTGATGCATTTTCTTCTCTAACATGTTCATGGAATTGTCAAAGAACACCATTGTCATTTGGTCATTTACATCATTTGGATTAATATCTCATTTGATTTGATAGTTGGCAGAATACCCAAATTGAATATGTGTTTATTACTGAAAAATATAA